CCCAGCACCCCTTCCTCACCCATCACCCACCTCTCCACCCTCACTGTGCGGAGCCCCGAGTGAGGGTCCAGCAGAGATAGGCCTGGGGGAGCAGCTGCTCCAGGAACCCGGATTTCCTCAAAGGCAGGAGGGCAGAGGCTGTGGGTGGCACTGAGTGAGGGGTGGGACCCTCCAAGGTGGCAGCTGGAATTCGAGAGCACGGGTTCATGAGGGACCCATCAGCGGGTCTGCAGACTCGGGGTCCAGGGGGCAGAAGGCGGCCACAGGGGACACGGAAGGGGTGTCATGGAGGCTGGAGGGTCCGGGGTACAGTGGGTGGTTATTCCGGTGGTGAAGGGTGGAAGCTGGTGGGGTGGGTGAGGGGTGGGGAGAGTAGTGGGGAAAAGTGGGGGCCCAGAAGGCACAGCCAGTGGGCGCCAGTGGACAGGGGAGGCCATAGAGGGCCCGGGGAGGGGCCTGGACGCGGGGGGGAGGGGTGAGGGAGCCCAGCACCAGGAGAGGGAGGGGCTTTCCAGGGTCCACAGACCACGTGCTCCGACACTGAGAGCCAAGGTCTGTCTCCTCCTGGAGTGGGGGGCCCCCTGGGGGGCCCTGCGGCCGGGGGGCCGGCCTGCTCTGCAGCCCCAGCCTGGAGAACAAAAGGGGTGTCTCACGCTGAGTGGGGACCTCTGGGGGCCCATGGCTCCCTCCTGGGGTGACCCAAGTTTGGCAGGAGGCACGTGAGCAAGCTGGGGGCTGGTGAATAAAAATGCCCTAGCAGCCCGGCCGGCGTGGCTCAGTGGGTGAGCATCGACCTAGGAACCAGGAGGTCACGGTTCGATTCCCGGACATGCCCGGGTTGCAGGCTCCATCCCCAGTTGGGGGCGTGCAGGAGGCAGCCGATCCATGATTCTCTCTCATCACTGATGTCTCGCCTCTCTCCTCTCTCTCTCCTTCCTCTTTAAAATCAATTAAAATATATTTAACAATAAAAAAATGCCCAGATCTGCTGGTTCTGCCCTCCTGCTCCTGGGGCCAGACTGGGCAGGCCCTGGGCTCTGAGGGATGCCAGGAGGCAGGGTCTGCTGAGGGCCTAGCAGGGGCACTGCCATCTGAGGATGGAGCAGGGCGGCCTGTACTGAGGACACAGGAGTGGGCACCGCCTCTGAGCAGGGGTGCAGCATCCTGCCGCAGACCCCTGGACCCCCCGTGGTGACCAGCTCAGGGAGGGACCTCCTGGGTGGAAACTCGGGGGGCGAGGAGGGGGGGAGGGACTGGCCGAGACCACCCAGGAAGACGGTGAGAACCAGCCAGCCGGCCTCCCAGGTGGTGGGCACTCTGCACTCATTCCCTGCCATCGTGGTAGCCGGTGACGCTGGCCAGCCTGTGGCACGGGGACCCCACCCCCACCGTGCAGGGAGGTCTGAGGAAGGAAGCCGGATGGGCACGGGGCCTGGCCGGTGCTCGCGGCCAAGAGGGGCAGCTCTTGTTTGTGGTCCTTCCCAGGAAGTTCTCCCTGGACGACCTGCTGACCATCATCATGATCTACTGGACCACGGGCACCATCACCTCCTCCCAGCGCTTCTACAAGGAGAACATGGGCCACAGCTTCCTGAGCGACCGGCACCAGCGGTGAGGCCCCCTCCCCAGGCAGGGAGCAGGGGCAGGGCCTGCTCTTGAACTCAGAAAAGGACAAGACAGCCTGGCCTGCGGGGCACTGGGCGTGGAGGGTGAGGGCGGGGTGTCCCGAGAAATCCCTCTGCCTTTAGAATCAGCGCCCAGAGGGAGCCCGGGGCCAGGGTGCTGGGACCTCCGCGTCACCCTTTCCTAATCTCATCGGAGGACCCTGGGGACAGCAAAGGGGGGGGACGACGAGGTGGGGAGTGAGGCTGTCCCACCCCACCCTCCAGCCTGGGCAGCCCTTCCAGAAAAGAGGGTTCTTCGTGGATTGGAACCGAGGGGGGTGGCTTATGACACCCCCGCGAGCCCCCCGCCACACCCAGAGGAAGCCCGGGCCCCCGGGGCCAGGGTGCTGGGATGGCCGCGTCACCCTTTCCTGATCTCATCAGAGGACCCTGGGGACAGCAAAGGGAGGGAGGGGGTCCCACCCCACCCTCCAGCCTGGGCAGCCCTTCCAGAAAAGAGGGTTCTTCGTGGATTGGAACCGAGGGGGGTGGCTTATGACACCCCCGCGAGCCCCCCGCTCGGGGGGGACAGGCTGCCGGCCGAGCCTACCCCTCAGTGGGACCCTTGTCCGACCAGGATGAAGGTCCACGTGCCCACGGGCTTCGCTGCCTTCCCCTGTGAGTTAATGCACGTCCCAGAGAAGTGGGTGAAGGTCAAGTACCCGAAGCTCGTCTCCTACTCCTACATGGCCCGCGGCGGCCACTTCGCCGCCTTCGAGGAGCCGGAGCTGCTGGCCCAGGACATCTGCAAGTTCGTGGGGCTGGTGGAGCGGCAGTGACCTCGGAGCAGCCCCTGCCCTGGGGGCGCTCCCTCGTGGACACCTGTCCCTTTCCTGCAAACACCCCTCCCCTCCGCCGCCCCCCTCCACCGCCACCCCCACCC